GTCTCCTTAAGCCCATGGATCCCAGAAAGCATCATTTGGGACCTGGGGCAGATCTCTGTCTTGTCACCTCCCCCAGACAGCAAGCACTGATCTCTTGCGGAGAAGGTGGAGGTAACCAGAAGGAAGCCTCAAAGATTGTCCAGTCAGTTATTTCTGGTTATTGAAGATCCTTACCTGTGATGAGAATCTCCTTACCTGCGCTTACTGCATAGATGGTAACTATGCACAGCTATGATTGTGGCCCCATCCTTAGGACAGGACCCAGCTGCCTCATATTTTTCTTTCCCTTGAGACTGAGAACTAAACTGGGAAAAATGAATCTCTTTTGAGTAGAAAGAAATTGATCCACTCCTGTATTCAAAGTGAAACACTGGCAACGGTGTGGCTGAGGGGAAGGTAGTGCAGAGATGCCGCAGGGGTCTCAGGCCTTTCCAAGACTTCATTTTCTCACGGGAGCAGAGACACTGCTACTTGCTGGGGCCTTGAAGTGACAGCCAGCTTGGTGCCATGGCAAGGGCTCAGGAGTCAGAAGAAGGGGCCCAGGCTTCAGTGCCCACAGCACCGTGCAACCTGGCCTCGTTTCTGTGGAGGGTAACTCACTGTCCTCGATGGCATTTAATAATTCCTAGGGCGCTGTGAGATGCAAGGTACTTTGTCGGTTACAAAGTGCCATACGAACGTGACCACTGCAGCACATCAGACTGTAGGCAAGTCCGTCCTTCCCAGGAAGCAGCAGGAGAGGCCTTCTCTGGCTGTAAAAGCAGGGTGATCGGGATGTTGTATATAGACGTAACTCTTCAGGCGGCAATTTATAAATAGGGAGGAATGCTGTAAGTAACACAAGGTCAACCCTTCTGCTTCAGGTCTCATTTTCTTCACCTGAAAAAGCCATTCCAGGTGAAATGATCAAAACCAAGGGCATCCATACATGTATTTTCTGCTTCTGCATCTGCTTTGGAGGGGTACTATTTCCAGACTCTTAAGTTCGAAATATTTTTCCTGAGGAGCTCTTGGAAGTGAAGGAGGTATTTCCTATAAAGTATGTGCTCAGTTTTTGCTTTTTTGCTTTTCCCTTCTCCAGGAGGAAAAATCCCATGAACTCCAGAAGGTGCTTAGATGCTGGGTGTTGCGTCACTATCAAATCCTGGGCAATCCCACCAGGTCGATATTTTCAATCATATTTGTTGCTGGTGACACCCAAACCCAGATAGGTGAAGTCACTAGATGGGATTCAGACTGAAGTTTTTTTCTTTAGCTCCTAAATGGCTGTTTTTTCTTCCTACCCTATACCTGGTCCTTTCCAAAAAGCCTACCTGATGTCCCTGCAGATCTCCTCTGTGGAATGGGTAAACGTTTGCAAACATGGGCCGTTGAGCTCCTTTTCCCCAGAAAGACAGGAAGAGGTGCTGCCTCCAGTTGGAGAGGACTTCCCGCCAGCTGCTGCAGCTCAGGGTGGAGACTGATCCCTTCTGTCCCCTGTACCTTAATTGCCATGCTTCCTCACTTTATGAGTTTCCAGACGCCGTGCCAAAGGCTTTTAAAGGCAGGCAGGGGAGCAGGCTGCATTTGATTGGCAGCCAGCCATCACCCCAAGAATCTTGATCTGTCGCTGGCTCCTTCAGAGAGCAAGGCCTTGTACTCTGCGGTGAGATTTACGTATGGGATCCATGCTGACTGAGGCAGAAAAGAGGGCTCCGGGGGTGGCAAAGGAGCCTTTGGAAGGGGAAGAGGAGGGAAGAGCTCATTTTATTACCCAGGAATAAAAACATTGTGCGTAATGAATAAAGTCCGAAAACAGTAAATCTGGGACTGCAGAGTTTGGTGTGGAACCGCCAGAGAGCTAGTGAGGCCTTCGCCTCTCCTATACGGCATGGGGTTGGGGCTGTCTCTCCCTGCCCAATTTCATTAAATGGGCTTTTAACGGTTAGGATTACAAGAAGCCGAGTCTGCCTGGTTCATAATGATGATTTATGGCGGTGTTGTCGACTCCCCGACCCTTCTGTACAAGGGGATAAAGAAAATACATAATTTGTTGCTCATTAACTCCAGAATCTGTCAGGGCTGCCCCAGAAGCCATGTGGTCCTGGAGTCATGTGTCTGCTAAATGGCTTCAGGCTGGGCCTGGTCTCAAAAGCCACTGCTCTTCTGCCATGGAACATGGTCTCAATAACAGAAATAATAACCTGATCTCGATATTGCCTGCTGCGGGGTCTTTGAGCTTGAGAGACAGTGTATCTGGACTTGATTCTGAGTCCTGTCACTTACTGGCCTCCAGTCCTTCAGATTGCCTGTGTTATTGGGCTTTGGTCTGTTGCTTGTCCCTTGTACTGTTCATAAACAACTTCCCAGTGCTATTGCATGCTGCCTCTGCTTGGTGGGAAGCTTATGGTGAAGGGGCCTTGAACTCTCCATCTGTGGAATGGGAATAACTTCTCAGACTAAGTAAAACTGAAGGAGGAAATGTAAAAGATGACTGCTATTAGTAACACAGCTAGAAATTTGAGATGCTATGAAATGTTTCCTTCTGTCTCTCTAGGAAAGGAAGAAAGATTTCATTTCACAATGCACTATTTGAAAAACTGTGGCCCTGACAATGGGAGTTTTAGAATAATGGGGTTGCAGGATTAGAGCTGTAAAGTCCTTGGGGTGTAATCAGTTCCCTTTTTCTAAAGTAACAGGTACAGCAGTAACTCACCCAAGTGTCCATGTAGGAACAACAGAACTTGCAGTAGAAGCCCATAGATTCTTTCTTAACGTCCAATGGGAAATCACGTTGATTATGCTCCAGCCAGGCCTCCTCAGAGCAGTTCCTGCATCTCAAGCAGTGCCACAGTTCTGGAGACTCTGGAGCAATCCAGGTACACAGCTTGTGCCTGGGACCTTGCTTCCACTCTTTCCCAGTGGTGTTCATAATGCACTTTCTCGTGCCACTGTGTTATTACCTTGGCTTGGCTGGGAAGCTAGTGGTGGAGGTAGCACCAGAGAGTTAAGAATAAATGTCATTGCAATTATGAAGTAATAAATCATAGAATCTACTGCCACAACTTGGCAAGTGGAGAACTTGACTGATCTCAAACTCACTCCGTGAGTGGGGACTCCAACGCTGGCCACTTGACTCCTGGTTCACTGTTCTTACCCTCCCCCACATATAAAGACACATGAATATGATTTATAAATAAAGAAGAATAAGAAAGAGTAAGAGAACATGAGTTATGGCACTGCACATCTGGAACTTGTTAGCCTGTAAGGTTACATAGGGTAAAAGTATAAACAGGTTCAAAAGGGGAATTAGATCCTGAATGGTAGGAAAGAATGCTGGGTGGGGAGTCAGCACACCTGGGTCTAATCTTTGGATGTCAGTTAATTTGAACGTCAGTTTCTTCTGGGTATAATAGTGCTTTCATTTCTAACTTACCACGCTTCTTAGATTTTAATCTCTGCAATGTGTTATCAAAGGGCGCTTGGTAATGTTTCGGGATATTTCCAATTCTACAAGGCAGCAACTCTGAGGACCCCTCTCCTGCTCCCCTTCCCTGTTTCCTCTTCAGTGACAGGCTTGGAGCACCTGTGCAGGCACGGCCCTTAGTTCTGCTCCCTCCAGAAGTGGCTAGGCCAGAACACTGACCGCACTGGCCTCAGATGATGACCCTCCATGCACAGTCATACCTGATGGAGTCTGGAAAAACAGTGCAGTACATCCACTTATAAAGTGTTTTTGACATGAAGTCAGCCTCAGCAGTGGCAGGGGCTGGTCTCACTCCTGTACCACTGGGTCTTGGGGCCCAGCTGCTGTGCCCTCTGTAGACCTTGGGGTACTGGAGGACCTTGACCAGACCCAAGCCTTGACACTTTCTCCCACTGTAAAGAGTAGCGGGAGCCTTTGCAAAGGAGAGTGCAGATGTGCCTGACTATTGCTTCCCTTGTGGTCAAGAATATGCTGCGTGCTCACTGAAAAGGCAAGTGCCTCTCATCATCCTGCCCTTTGGGGAAGTGTGAAAGGGACTTGTGGTGAGCGATGAGCTGACCATTGCTGTCCTGTGCTGTGGTTGTAACCAGGAAGTGGCCGTTGTAGTGCTGTGGAGTTAAGACAAGGGGAGCAGGCTGTGTGGGTATGCGATTCCAGAGCAAGGCTAGTCTCTTGCCTGTGTAGATGTCCTCCAAGTTTACCTCACATAGTGGCAGCTGGTGCCTATGCTTACTGTAAACCAGGTGGGCTTGGGCCCATAGGAGGCCCTGTGGGATGGAGAAAGGGTGTGAGGACCAGAGACTCGAGGAGTTCACAAACATCCAAGGATTCTGTTCTACAAGATTCTGTTTTTAGACAGGCATTCTTTCCATCACACCATGCTTCAAAAAGGTGAAATCACAGCATTCCTCTCTGTGGCCCCCACTCGTTTTCTACCCGTATTGTTACGTGTATGTACACGGACAGCTCTGCAAAGATGAGCCGCCTCCTTTAGTGGGAAAAGAGGCTGGGGCTGGGGAAAGAGTTATTGCTGAAAGACACCGGGCCAGTGGCTGAGCCTTCATTTAGACCCGACCTGACAGGTGTGTGAGAGTTGCCACCAGGCTCCACGGCAGCCCAAAGGGTGAGGGAAGGTTCGCCCAAATCTCAGAATCCCTACAGATAACCTGATTCTCCACCTACTTCCCCCACTGTATATAAGCTCCTTTTTTATCCCCTTCCCCTTCTGTGTGTAAGTTCTATTAAACACACACACACACACACACACACACACACACACACACACAGACTTTTCTTCTTCTAAAGGTGTTATATGGCCAGGCAGGAGTTCAAAAAAGAGAACGATGTCCATGTTAGCACTTTGATTGCTGCTCCCATTCATATCTGTATCTGCACCCTTCTTAAATAAAAATTGCGATTTTCTAGATTATAGCTTGTAGTTATATACTGAACATCCTCCTGCAAATGCGCTTTGCAGCACCGCGTGTGACAGTGGGTCTCAAGGCTCCTAACACCCTTACCGGTTTTCTTCTAGATCATCACAGGAGAATTCTACCGCATCTACTACCTGAAGGAGAAGTCCCGCTCCACCATTCAGAATCCCTATGTGGCGGCCCTCTATAAGCAAGTGGGTTGCTTCCTCTTTGGCTGTGCCATCAGCCAGTCTTTCACTGACATCGCAAAAGTGTCCATAGGGCGTCTGCGCCCCCACTTTTTGAGCGTCTGCGACCCCGATTTCAGCCAGATCAACTGCTCTGAGGGCTACATTCAGCACTACCACTGCAGAGGCCCCGAGAACAAAGTCCAGGAAGCCAGGTGAGCTGTCACCTTCCCGTAACTGCAGGGGCACCCTCTGGTGCAGCCCAGCTCAGTGAGCACTTGCTGGGCCAGGTCTCGGGCTGGGCTCTGGTTTAGATGGCTGAATAAGGTGTATTCCCTGTTCTTGAAGAACTCACAGCCATATGACTGCAACACATATGTAACTAATCATTTTGATGTGGCATTGGTATGTCCATTCATTCATTCTTGCTTTATATATCCATTCCTGCCTGTGTCCCAGGCATCACCTGTCATGCAACAGTGAGCAGACACAAGCCATGAGGACACGGTCTAGGGATGGAAAACAGACAAGTGAGTGTGAAGGATGTGACTGCCCTTTCATGGCCCTCTTTTGCTCTTGCAGGAAGTCCTTCTTTTCGGGCCATGCATCCTTCTCCATGTACACGATGCTGTATCTGGTGGTGAGTATCTGCCTCCTGTCTGAACACAGTCCAGTCCCATCCTGAAGCCACAGAGTAATAAGGGATCAATCTCACTGTAAAATCCAGAGGAAGAGTTTAGTGGAGACACATTTCATTCTGAATTTCTGCTTTAGCAGAAGCTGTTTTACAATTCTGACCTTTCCATTTTCCAGATGAAAATAGTGTTGACTGTGTTGATTGATAAGGATTTTAAAACTGTGCTGTGCTCAACACATTTGTATAACACTGTATGCTGCAAGCCCTGCTTTCTAACATCCATTAAGCTGTTGGAGCTTAGAACCACCTTGTGTTATAAAAAAATACTCCTGTCTGTTGTGGGAGAAGATTACTAAGTAAGACTTGGAGACTCCAAGCTTTTGTCTGAACTTTCATAAACACTGGAACTGTCACCTGGCTCCCAGCGCTCTGGTCCAGCTCCTCGCAGTACTCACCTCCTCAGTTTCCCTCTTTGCACTGCTGATGGAAAAGCTTGAAGGACCCTCTCTACCTGATTACTGAGAGTATCTTGAGTTTTCCAAAGAACTTCTGCATGGGGGAGGACACGTAAGGGGGGCTCAGAGCTGCGCTGTGCCTGGGTTTCTTGGTCCTGGGGGACTAAGGAACATATTTCTATCTCTTCAACCAGTGGGGAACCATGATTTGGGTTCCCATGTTGGCCCTCCCTGGCTGCGGGGTCACTCTGGTTTCTTAGAGGTGCTGCGATAGTGCAGGTGCACAGCTGTGCTCCACCCATGCCCATCTGCTTGGTGGCGGGTCTGCTGTGTTTGTTTCCCTTTGTTGGTGGGTCAGGGTCGTCCCTGCCTTCTGCTCCCTGAACAAAGCCCAGGGGCCAGGGCTCTTCCTGCATTCGGCAGCTTTGATGCGGTTCAGAGCAATGCTGTCCTGAGAGGTCAGATGTAGCTCAGAAGAACGTAAGTTGTTTAGAAAAAGAGCATTTCAATTTCTGTTTATTCTGTAAACATAATTTGGAATTGGGAGAAAACAACAGAGGTTGGTTGTTTTGGTTTCTCTCCTCGTGTTTTCAAGTTTGGGGGTGTCGGGTTTGTTGCTAATTGAGACAGAGAGCTGAAAGGTGGCCCAATCCTGTAAAACTTTAAAACTGAAATCCATGTGGTCATGAATAGCACTGCCCTCCATTCTTTATTTTGTTTTTGTTTTTGTTTTGTTTTGCTCTGAGAAAGGATAACTTAGCAAAGGTATTTACGTTCCTGCTCCATGTGTGTATTTTACTCAGGGCTAGAAGCAGTTTTACAAATGTTTTTTAAAAGGTTCAGAGGACCTCTCTTTGATACCCCTCTTATATTCCATGAGAAAAGTGCTGGGTTATTTTAAAGCCATCACTGGGCAGGATTCCTTCACAACTCAAAAGGTAAGAATGGGGCTGAGCTTGGGGCACTCATTTTGGGGTCCTTCTCTGTACCAAGAACTATATCCATTTTTCATGGTAGCATTTGCTTCTTTCAGTATCCCAACCAGAGGTGTTTTAATTATCTTGTTTGTGGAAGGAAACCTGAATCTAGGAGGTTAAGTAACAAAAGTTCTGCAAAGGTGCTAGAAGGCTGGTTTTATAACCCGAGCATTGTTACATGTTCTTTTTATTGGATAACACTACAAGAAACAAAGGGAACAAAAACTCCTCAGAACCAATATAGGGAATAAAACCTCTGGACCCTAATTTTAATTTCACCTGGAATGAGATCCAAGCCCTTCAATATCTGTTGTTTGGTTTGCAAAGCTTTCTGAAAGAAGCTTCAGACTCTGTGCCTGCCTGAGGAGGCGGGAGCAGTCAGAGAAGCTCCTAGTCCTCCTCTGGCATTTGTTTTTATACTCCCAGAAGTGGGATGACCAGATTAGCCCGAATGGTCCAGCCTTCGCCAGGCCACCCTACACTTTTGCTAGTTCACCAGTGATTCTCAGCTTGCTCAGAGCACTGGAAGAACCACCTTGGAGCCAGGTGGGTGTGGTATGGACAGCTTTAGAGCCAGAGAGACTTGGACTCACACTGGCTGTGCTTGACTGGTGTGGAATTGGAAGGGGTACTCATAAGCTTGAAGACCTCATGTGCTCACCTACAAAGTGGACACAGTCATGTTCGTTTCGCAGAATTGTACACTTTCCTTTCTGGCCCTGACTTGCTCCATCTGTCAAAGTAAAGAGTGGGGCTTAGATGAAGTCTGCTCACCTCTCAGTTTCTGTGCTTCTATGGGAAAGATACTTGTACTGTTCTCTATGCTGAGAAGAAAGATGGGAAGCCATTATAGACAAAGTTGTGCCCATGTTGCTGTCAGGTTCAAAGATAACAGCTGACTGGAAGCACCTGCAGTCCTCGCTACCTGCCTGTCAGTCACAGCTACCATCCATGGCCTCCATGGCTTTGACGAGCTCTCTGTATTAGGTTTTGATTTGCAAAATGGGTAGCTTGGAAAAACCATGCTTCAAACACCAAATTATCTCTGGGCACAGGAACGTAAGGAGGAGGTTAAGGCTTTTTAGACTTTTGAGTGCAGTTTCTAATAAGAAAAACCCTACCGCAGATATAGGTATAAACTATGCTTCCTACCTCCAAGCCCACCCTACACCCCAGAGAGCCACATCTGCATTGACCTGAATGTGCATGGGCAGGGGCTGAGGGTGATGGGTTTGTCTGGATAAGATGCCAACACTAGAGCAGGGCCAAGGACGTGCAGTGCACTTGGTGTCTTCCATGCTGTGCCGGACTCCTGGTGGTCTTCTGGGTCTGCGGAGCTGAGTCAGACCGGGACCCTGCTGGCGAGGAACTCCTCTGTGTATTGAGCATTCATCATTTGGCAGGTCTTGCTGTTGGCGCTCAAGCACTGATAGGAATGGGAAGGTAGAGATTTGCGCAGAGTGGTCACGGTCGGTGGAGAGTTCAGCCTGGATGTACAAGCCCATACTACCAGTCTGGTGGATTTTACAGGAGGGGCAAGGGCATGAATAGGTTTTGACGGGTGCTCTGAATAGGGGCACAGTGCTAACCTGGAACAGGGGGTAGCCAGAGCCAGGGAGACTACCCCCTGTTAGTAAGCAGGGTTAGTCACATGAAGATGGGAGAAGTTAGAACTGCCTGTGTGCAGAAGAAAATCAGGATGGTTAAGTTGGGGTCCGGCAGGCATTCAGTTCAGTACAGCTTTGATGGCTGGAAGGAAGCAGGAAGTAGAGAACACACTAAGGTTGGTCACTGACCATTTGGATCATCAGTCCTAATGCATGGTTTTTCAGCTCGGGTTTGTGCCAAGACCTTTTCCTATTGACTGTGTTCTTCTGCAGGAAGGGGTCTGCATGTCCCCTCCCTTCAGGTCACCTCCTCAGAGAAGCCTCCCAGAACACCCTACTCAAAGTGACAGTCCCAGCCTGCACTGCCTGGGTTTGCTATCTTAACTGTTTCAGCATTGGTTTGTTCATCTGTCTCCTCTACTGAATGACAAGTTACACAGGAAGTGCGATTTCGTGAGTGATAGTTGCACTAGAGGGTTGAGCACAAGGCCTCACGCATTGGATGCTAGTCAGAAACACACTACTACTGAGCTATATCTCCAGGGCTTTTTTGATAGTTTTGTTTTGAGACAGGGCTTTGCTAAGTTGCCCAGGCTAGCCTTGAACTTGTGACCCTTGCACCTCAGTCCTCGGAGTCACTAGAGTCACAGATGTGCTCTTGATTCATTACTGTATTCCACTTCCCAGCGTAATACCTGACACTAAGTGAATAGCTGATGACTACATGAATAAGCCAGTCCCAGGTCACCTACTACTCACAGGCCACACTGCTGTCCAGGTCCGTCAGGATTTCCTTTTGCCTTCTTACCATTGACCCCATAGGTCGCTAAGTCCCACATGGGGCAGGAACGACCTCTTCATAACTCTGTGCTGCCCTTCGAGAACTGTTTGTACATCGGAGCTTTGACTGGGTACCAAGGAAGCTGGGAAGCAGCTGCTTCTGACAGCCGTGTTCTCCAGACTGTGGTTATTAGTCATTGAGGTTTTTGTTCAACATGGGTAGAAGCTATACCATGGGCCTAGTGTGCCCACGAGGCATACACACCCATGGACCCCCGTGGAGTGCCCTACACCCTGCACTGGAGCAAGCTGCCCCAAAGGGAATAGACCACGCCACCAGACATTGTCCCTCCCTCCTTCCTTCAGTCATTTATTCATCTATTTGTCCATCTATTTCTGAGAACTTGGTCTGTGCCAGACCCTCAGTGAGCACCTGAAGGCATGGGAAGAGCTCATCATTTTGTGGGGAAAGGCAGAAGGTTGTTGAGGACAAATTGGAGAAGTTCTCTGATGCAGGATGAGAGAGGACAGCACAGGGAGGAAATGGTCCTTTCCTGTGCTGCGCCTTCCACCGAGTCTGCTCAGGACACCTCTTCCTGAAGAGCAGGCCAGAGACTCTCCTGCTCCAACACCCACTGAAGCTGGATGCCCAAGTTTCAGGCACGAGTGCTTATAAAAACAGGTCACAAGTGAACTAGAGGAGCCTGAAGCTCCAAACAGTGCTGGGTAGTGCTAGTGTCAGGTATTACGCTGACCCTTAGCACATGGCTCCTGTGCAGTCTGCTCTTGTCGCTTATTTTCTCTGGAGACCAAAGAGATCAATCCAGGAGGCCAATGCTGCACATGCAAAGCTGTAATTCCTGAGGAGAGCAAGTTTTGATAGCTGGATCCTGGACTCAGAAGAGGCACACCTTCTTGGCTCCTTGTTATCTTGAGTGAGTGACATGGCCTTTTTTAGCATTGATTTCTTCATCTATAAAGTGGGAACAGCAGTGTCCATCTTGCAGAATTATTATCACAGTTGCAGGCGGTATAATTTAAAACACCCAGGACAAGGCCCAGAACCACACTTAATAAAATGGTGACTTCTTTTCCTTCCCTGCTAATGACAGATGATTTGACGTTCTACAAAGGGAGGAGAAAAGTCAACTAATGATTCTTCTCTTATCCTTAAAGTGGTTACATAACTTCAGAAGGGGAATTTTTAATTCTCTATCATGTCAACAAGCTACCAGGCCCATGAAACAGAGCCAGGTGGGATTCATGGAGGAGCCTGGAGGAGGGCAAAAGCTGCTGTCTCTGGGTGTCACTGATGTGAACTGACTGCCTGGAAGAGGATAGGCAGGGACATAAGCAAGGACAAAAGCCTCTTTTCACTTTTAGCAGAATTTTCCCAAGAGCAATGGAAATGAAAGGAGAAGACAGTGCAGACCTGTTTCCCCAGTTTGCAAATCATGTAACCAAACACATGACTTAGCAAGAACCGGACTGTGACTCACCCACAATCTGACTCTGCAGGGTTCAGACTGGAGGAGCTGGTTCACCCCTCCCCCACTCAGGTTTTGTTAGAATTCCTATTGTGCAGGACCCCAGTTTGGAAGCTAGGATTAGGAGGAAAAAGAGAACTCCATTTATGGAGTGAGGACTTTCACATGCCTCAGTTCAGAGAGTGGAGGCAGATGGGTACCGTTTTATCATAACCCCACTGCTTCCACAATTCTGTTTCAGGAGTTGGAAGTGAAACCGTGGTACACTACAAGGAGAGGACTGCAGATCTCAGCTGTGCTGCAGCATTCCAGTGATGTTCAGGACAAGGGTTCCTAGAGCTGGATCCTTGTCCCAGTGTCTTTCCTTTAGCTACAGGGAAGACAGCGGCCAGCAGGGAGAGGTTAGGGTGACGGTGGAGGCTTTGTGTTTCCAGCTCTGATCACCTTTTTTCTAAAACGACCTTTTGGGATGTGTGGCACTTCGTATTCTGGTCCTAGAAACATCCCAGCTGTTCTGGACAGGGTAGGTGCCTGGCACCCTTGCTGTGGTCAGCAAGGTCTGACTTTCTGTCTTGAGGAACGTGCCCTTGCCCCCTTGGTTGGGAATGAACAGAATTTGTAGTGACTGGGCTGTCCCCAGCCTGCAGGATGCTCTCTGGGGTCCTTGAGAGGCCCAGATGTCTGGCCTGGAGTGGTGAATGTGAAGCTGTAATTCAACAAAGTTGCACTCACTTAGCAGTGAGACTGGTGTGAGGTGGAGGGTTATCAGGTTCTGCAGTCAGCATCCAAGCCTGTCGCCAGCAGCTGGCAGACAGAGCCACTGGATGGAAGGTCACTGCAGTCTCTTTCTTCAATAATTTACTTGTTTTAGTGAAATCTCCACCGCTAAGCAAATCTTATTTATCAAGATGAAAGGGTTAACTAGATTTCTGAAACTTGAGCATCCTTCCTCTGCCCATCAGGGTCTGCTTCATGCTGTCTCCTTGGACCCCTGCAAGCCTAAGGGGAGACCGTGTCACCCCCCCCCATCCCCACCCCATTTCACAAATGAGGAGACTGAGGTGTAGAGAGGTTAAAAGACTGCGTATTTAGTAAGCAACAGGGCCAGGCCCGGACTCTCATCCTGAAATTACCTGACTCTTTTCCTAACCCCGAGCCTTGCTCCTGAATATACCTGGCTTCCGTGCTTATTGGTGGATGGGAAAGCAAGGTGCATCTGACACTAGTGCTTTCCCCGGGAAGGCTTTTTCCAAGGCGCCAGCTCCCTTCTCACTCATGCACACTCCCCCTCCTTCCTGGAGCTATTCTGATGCTGGGCTCTTCCTCTCCCTGTGAATTTCTCTCCTCAGTTGGTTTCTTTCATGGAGCTCCAGCCTGAAGTCCTCTGAGTCAGTGCAGGGGAGATGTGGCCTTGTCCGGTTGGGAAATCCACCCTTCCTCTGCCCCTCCCTGGATTCCAAGGCCTGTAACCTAAAGCTGACGGGCAGCCAGCCAGGGTAGGGGGTGGTAGGAGGTTGAGCAGGCGTTTTTCTGAGGACCTGTAATTCTTTCAGAGAGGGGAACAGGAAAATTGGGGGCTAGTTGAAGTGGTTAAAGAATAAATCGTCTGTTGATTATCATCTTGTGCTTTGTCCTTATGGACAGATGGGAGGAAGCTGAGGCTCAGCAAGGGTCTTCTCATGAAATCCTGGGCTCCTCCTCCTCTCCTCTCCACCTTGGCCAAGGCTGAGCCGCTGGAGGAAGGCTGGACCCCAGCATGACCCGCATCCAACTATTTCTCCTGCTACCCTTGCCGCTGCTCTAAAGACTTGTGCTGAGTTGGCGCTGCACCAAGACCATCTCCATCTCCATCCCCATTCCCCAGAAGGAAGGGATCTTTTGATCTGTGATGGCAGAATCTTAACCCACAGATCACTTTAGCAGAAAGAGGCCAACAAGCCTCTGGCCTGTCACTGCGGGTTCACTCTAATATCCACACCGTCCAGAGAGACTCAGCTCTGCCCAAAGCCCTTAAAGAGCACCCAGATTCACTTTTCAGAGCACTAATGCCTTGCTTAAATACTTAAATTTTTGCTGAGCTGTTTGAAGTCCTGGTAAGGGTGATGGCAAGTTCTCAGGTTCTCAGCCATCCCCTCTCTGTCTCCCTGACTTCTGGCAGATACAAACTCAATTAGGTTCTTGTCAACAGTCTTTTTCCCTTAGGAACTGATCTTGCCCCAACTTCTCGTCTACATTCTATAAGACACAGTAGGACATTTGTTCATGTCCTCGATGTACTCCATGGGGTGGGTATGAGACCTCATTTCTGTGTCCTTTCTACCTCTTACGGATTCTGGCTTTTATCTTCCCTCGAGGTTATTTGCCAGTTACTTAATCTTCTTTGATATTATGATGATGATTTTATCACTGCTTTTAGATTGTTAATGGCTTATTATTTATATAAGAGGAAAACATTGATTTTTATCATTTGTTTAGCGGCCAGCAGCATCCACAAGGCCTCCTACCAGTTTTTTGTTACTCTTAGAATCTCCAATATTAAGCTTATATATTCTCAGAATGACTGTAGCATTTCTTGCTCTTTCTTTTCCCTGCTTCCTGGCTGCACTAGGGGTCAGCCCCAGGCCTGTGCTTGCTTGACAGGCACCACACTGAGCCACACTGCAGCTGCCCACTGTTCACACATCTGGTTCTTTTGAGGACCTCTGGGCTGCTCGTGCATGGCCGGACCCAGGCGCCCAGAGCTCTGCCCATCTGGTCCCACTGGTGCCGTCCTGACCTCCAGAGGAAGGTGACACTGTCTCCGGAAGGGCAGGGCTCTCTGGAGACCGCAGTCCTCCTTCTGCTCTTCCCCTCTCCCTGGCCTCTCCCAGTGCTTTGATTTGCAGTCGGAAGTTCGCCTCGTCCCCTCGCCTCTTCCTCTTCATTTCCCCAGTTCCCACAGGAACCTTGGAAGTAGGTTGTGCCCAGAGGTTTGAACGGAAACTGCAGCAAGATAACTTCAAGGGGACAATACCCAGCTGACGTCATTTCAGCTTCTTTCCTTCAGCCAGAGATGGTTTTTTTTCCTTCCATTTTTCTCCAGGTTGCTCTTCCACCCCACCCAGCTCAGTTCTGTTGATTCCTACTTGAAAGTTCCCTGGCATTGTCTGCCTGGTTTATGTGTTTCCTTACATGCTAATTGAAAATCCACAATTCCTAGTGGTGATCTAGAAACTTGCTCTCAGACAGAGTGGCTTTCTCTTGAAGCAGACAGAGCATGTGCTGTGACTATCACGATGACTTCCCTTTATCATCATGGATTTTAATTCCGTGACAATGGGGAGAAGCAGGTGTCACCCGGAATGTGCATCTCCAATCGCCAGTGAAACACACAAGCGTGTTGAGAGTCACCATCCATTGTAGAATAAATTGTTTTCTCTAATCAGACTCCATCCAGAAGAAGTTAAAGGGAAACATTTATTCAAGTGCCTGTGGTATGCCAAGCAGCCTGCAAAGACCCATTTACATATATTATATTTCCCTTTTTCTTACTTTTTATCATGACTCCCACGGCTCTGCATTACAATAACTGGTCCAAACTGAACGTGCTATTGCAGTGTACCACCAGTTTGGTTTGTATCAGAGTAGCAGAAATAAAGTGTATGTTAGCACTATTTGCAGTGCCCATGAGTCAGGAGTGACATCGAATCTGTTCTTTTGTCTCCTCCCTCCAGCTGTACCTGCAGGCCCGCTTCACCTGGAGAGGTGCCCGCCTGCTCCGGCCCCTCCTGCAGTTCACCTTGCTCATGATGGCCTTCTACACGGGATTGTCCCGCATATCTGACCACAAGCACCACCCAAGTGATGTCCTGGCAGGGTTTGCCCAAGGAGCCCTGGTGTCCTGCTGCATAGTAAGTAGCCTCTGGCCCTCAGCCTGCAGGCAGAGGTCAGTACTGAGGCTTTTAAGTGTTTCTGGCTCAGTGAGTGACATGGGCGAGGGGGAGCCCTTCTCCCTCTTGCCCTTTTGGTGTCAACCAGGACACCATCTGATCCTGAGAGGCATTTCTGTGTCTGTCCTGCCTGTGTGTTTTGATGGCAAAAGTTCTGTAAATCCTCTTCTCCATCAGTTCAGGTTTGGGCTTACAGAGTATTACAGCTAGAAGAAGCTTGCGGTCCTGCCTGCCTCACTGTACAGATGAGGATGTATAGGCAGGAACTTTGCCTGAGGTCTCTTGTCAAATGAGTAGCAGGGTTAGTCTTGGAACTCACACACTGCGTTGGTGTGCACATGCTCCTCAGTAGAACTCTTCTGCTCCCTGGAAAATGCCTCCTCTTCGCATGGAGAATGGCAAGGTTTACCGGATGCTGAGACCCCTGGCCTTGGACTGTGAGCATTGGCACAAGTTTCTAGGACTGATTTTGAGAGAGACCACATGCCAGCTTGCCCATATGAATGGGCCAGTTCCCTTCATTCCTCATGAACCTCCATCCCTGATCTCTGCTTTCCATGCACACTGAGTGTTTTATTCAGCAACCCTGACCTAGCATGAGTAGCACACTCCAGGCTAGCAGGAACCCCAAACTTGGTAAAGGCTGAGTGTCTAAGCAGCCTACATGGTGGTTGCTGTTGTTAGCATTAACCTGCTTAGAAACGTCTAGACTTCCTTTCTCCAGTCCTGTTTTCTATGGCAAGCTGCAGACCCGTCTGCTAGAAGTAACCATTGTTCCCTGTGGCAGCGTGCAGCTTGTGACTGCTTTGATGAGGTGTGTCTCCTGCAGACAGGCAGGCACCATATAAAAACATACACGACTCTCTCATCTTTACCAAAGGCTCTTGGGGATCCGAGCTCAGGCAGAGTCAGAGTGCACTCAGTAAAACAGGGTAGAGGTGGGGAGCTGATGTACCCATTCCTGAGATCACGGCTGGGAGGAGGCTCTTGAAGGCACAGGGAGGGATGGGACTCAGGCCAGGATCCCAAGGAAATCTCGTTTCAGCTGCATGGACAGTGAGACCAAGCCCTGGGGCTTGAAACAAGTAGGGCTGCAGCAGACAGAGAGACAGGTGGGCAAGGTCTGATGAGGAGGAAGTGGGCGTCGGGGGTCAGAGAGGACACTATGACCATCTCGGCATTCAAACTGCCAGTCAGCCTTGGGGTAGATGTCCTGCCTAAGGCATTGGCCGTCTCCAGGACTGTTTTCATTGTTGTTTACATTTTCTTTTTTAAAGTGAAGGCCAGAAAGGAGAGAATTGATGGAGCAAACCATTAATGAGAGCAGCTGTCACCAGATGCCTGGCCCGGGTGCCTGGCCCTTTAATGTGGAGTGACAGGAGAGAGGCGGTGTTTTCAGGAAGAGTGCCCTCACCGCTGGTGCCCTGTGAGCCCTGCTTTCAGCAGGAGAACAGCCCTTGGGGCCTGCTGCTGTTTCCTTCTCATTGGCGCCATGGCCCTAATTGGAGCCTCCTGCACCCCCAATTAAAAAAATTAAAAGGTGTGGGGATCATTCCAGCCTTCCTCTCTTTTATACCCTAGAGCCCCAGCCATGAGCAATTAGACAGAATGTTTGGGAGAACCGTGGTTTATTTTCTAGAAGGGAAACGAAGGATCTGTCTTTTATCCTTATTGGCTCTGGCTGATGGCAACAAGGGATAGGAATTTGGCCCTGGCTCGTCTAAAGCACCTACTGTTTGCTGGCACCTTTCTAAAACTTTGCCCACTGTGTCATTTTAGCCACATGTGGCCATTTCCAGTCAAGGTCACTTGGGCTGGGAGAGCTGCCTAAGTCATCCAGGCTCAAAGAGCTGGGAGACACCTGTCTGCAGGATTCCAACTCACTTGCAACCAGGTTCTCTGCACTGGGCAAGAAGGGGAGGTTGCTGAAGCCAACGGCCACCCAGAGCTAACCCCAACAAAGGCTATACAGACAGCTGCAGAGTGTGTATCAGTTTAGGGAGTCAGGGGGCCCTTCTGGAGCCTGGGGTTGGCCGGTCATCACTTTGCCTTTTAAAATCTGAGTCACTGTGGAGAGACTGCTTGGAAAGGGGTAATAAATATCTTCACCTGTCTTTTGCCCATTTAGCTGTGAACACATGGGGCCAGGGACTTAGTCTTGTCATTCTCCCCTAAATGCCTGACCTTCAGCTCAGTGCACACAGGACCTCCTGGCCCCAACTGACTTGGAATCCTGGTGCTACTTGAGTGTCCTATTTTTAAGCCATCAGAGAGGCTAGGGCAGGGAGAGGTGAGAAGCAGCAAGGCAGTGTGTGTGCCCTTTGCTGTTGTGAGTGCCGGATTTTGTTCTCCTGGCCTTGACTGGGGGGAAGACAGAAATGAGACCCTACTGGACCAAATATGGTGTCCACCGAGAATCGTGGTGGGGACGCCATCGGGTGAGGACAGCACTGCCCCCTGGGAGGTTCAGAGGGTCTGCTTCACCGCTTCTACATCTGAATCAATATCCAGTATGTCGTGCGCTCACCTCAAGGCAGGAGTCTGCCTGTTGTGTGGCAGGACTTTTGCTAAAAAAAAAGGCTGATCATATCAGTGAACCCTTGGAAAAGCCAAGAGCTTGTCTCAGCGAGACTGGAACTTTATGCAGTGTTCTTGAAACAGAGACATCCCTGGAGGTTGGGGTTCCAGAAAGTCAGGGCACAGAGGAGTGCCAAGGTCACTGTGCAGGACACAAATACAACAGAGCCCGCAAGCCCACCCTCTGTGGACACTACTCCCCAACCAGAGGCACCATGTTCAGTGGCATTTGTTGAGAGCTCACTGATAGCCCTGGCTCATCACTCTGTTAAGGGCTTTCTACACATTGTCATCTTCAGTCCACCCAAACTCTAAGCTTCTGTCACTAGCATCACTTAAAATGAGAAAAAAGCAGTTGAGTAGGATTAAGTCACTCAGAGAGAAGCTGGAGTAGTCAGAATCAAGCCCTGACAATCTTGACATCATGCCAGTGCTACCAGACCCAAGCTGCCCCTGGCCGTACCCCCCACCCCCCACCCTGCATCACCAGGTGTGCCAGACTTCTCTTCTCTTTCCTATTCCCCAAGCTCTTAACCTTGACTACTTTCCCCCTCTGATGGGGCACAGATCCAGTTTCATCTCACTGCTGATGAAGCCTTCATGTATCAGTTCCCTTGGCTGTTGTCACAAATCATCACAAATCTAAGTGGGTTAGAACAACACAGATGTATTTTCTTATAGGTCTGGAAACTAGAAATTAGAAGCATGCCCCTGTGGGCTAAAATCAGGGTGTTGGCAGGGCTACATTCCATTCAGAGGTTCAGGGAACATCTGCCTTCCTTGTTTTTGACAGTTCCGGAACTACCTGCATTCCTTGGCTCGTGGCATCTTCCTCCATGTTCAAAGTCAGCTTCATGGAGTCTTCGGGTTTTTCTTATCCTCTCTGGCCTCTGTTTTACTGTCTGCCATTTCATCTGAGATTCTGAGGCTCCTGCCAAAAACCCTTAGGACTGCATTAACCCAGGATCAGCTCTCATTTCAAGATCCTTAATTTAACCTCATCTGTAAAGTCCACTGGGTTGTAGACGGTAGTATTGTTACAGGTTCCAGAGAGTAGACTGAGGGCATCTTTGAGGGGGATCATTCTTCAGCTCACCGTGTCTTCTTTATTCCCTGAGGACAGAATTGTCTACTTTTCTTGTAGGGCTCCCAAAGCTACCAGCACTTTCTTGGTGCCAAGGCTTTTGATCTGTTCTGTCAGTTACCAGCTCCTATATCTGCCCCCCCAACTAGATTGTGGGTGTCTTTAGAACAGAACCCATGACTTCACCTTTTGGGTCTATACTGGCAATGCCTAGTATGCTGGCTGTGTGTAAAAGATGCTTGGTAAGCATTGGGTAATCATGATGGACAAGTTGGCTTGTGACCTCAGCAAAATACTTCCTCCTGGAGCTCGGCATCCCCATCTGTGCATGGAATCTGGAGGCCCTGTAGCTCTGTGATCTACGGGCAGGGGGCCTCTGCAGCATGTGTGACTGAGCTTGACCTGCTCCCCTAGGTGACCCTGTCCCTGCAAAGCCTGTAAGGGAGCCCTGTATTTGGGGACCCTGGGCTGTCCTGTAGCCCTCTGTGACATCGTGTGTTACCCTAGGAGGTCAGTTCAGTCACCGAGTGCCTTGGGCAACAGACTATGACAGCCAGGCACTTCTACAGAGTCTACCAAGCCTGGTCATGTCACAACAAGCAGACTTGTCTAGACAGAAGTCACATGACATGTGGGGGTGAGTTCGGTGCCTTTCTTATTGTTCACTAGTTAAGTGATTTCCAGAAAGAGAAGACCTTGCAAACTGATGCAGATGCAAAGTTCCCAGTGTCCTGGGTTCAGCATGAGGAGACATGCATATGGGACACCAGACAGCCCTGCACACCAGCCACACCTCCCCAGATGTGACCAGAGGGGCACAGGACAGTGTTGAGAACCATAGCCCAGACAGCAGAACATGAAGACAGATCCAAAGGTTCCTAGACATATTGCCCTCTGTTCTTGCTCGCTTGCCAGCATAGAGCCACAGATAGACAAACAGGCAGACAGATGTACACATGGGCATGTGGTAGGTCTCCCAGCCTTCTCCCACCTGCACCCTGAGAGTCATCCCTGCCAGCAATGCGAACGCCACAGCTCGGCTCACCCGCAGATCAGATGAAGGGACAGACATCAGTTTATTTCCTGTCTGGTGACAACTTACATATCTGGTCACCTCTGCATTGACCCTGTAACAGATGGCTAATGAGGGGTCCATGGGAGGGGTCAGGGAGGGCCAGGCCGCCATTGCTGTGGGCTCAACAGGAAGCAGCTGCAGGCGGGTTTCATAAACACACAGCAGTTTTCCTGGTTTGCCTCTTCCCGGGGGAGTGGCCCAGTGAGTGCTCTTTTGTGTGGGGCC